GTGGTAGACACAGAGTGTGCTGTGGACTCTCTTGCTTTGGGCTTCTTAACTTTTGAGACTTTGATGAAAGCTGGGACCATCTCTCCAGAAAGACACACACACGCAAGGAATTTAGCACATGTTCTTACGGTGTTTAAGGGACTTTTTTTTTTTTAATACTGGTAGCCGAAGGGCAAGGTTTTATTTTATTTATTTATTGATTTATTTTTTATTGTTGTGCTTTAAGTGAAAGTTTACAATTCAAGTTAGTCTCTCATGCAAAAATTTATACATACACTGTTTTGTGACCCTACTTGCTCTCCCTATACTGTGACAGCACACTCTTCTTTTCCACCCCGGATTTCCCATGTCCATTCAACCAGCTCCTGACCCTCTCTGCCTTCTCATCTCACCTCTGGACAGAAGCTCTCCATTTAGTCTCATGTATCTACTTGAGCTAAGAAGCACACTCTTCATGAGTATCATTTTATGCCCCATAGTACAGTCTAATCTTTGTCTGGAGAGTTGGCCTCAGGAATGGCTTTAGTTTTGGGCTAACAGAGAGTCCGGGACCATGTCTTCCAGGGTCCCTCCAGTCTCAATCAAACCATTAAGTCTGGTCTTTTTACTATAATTTGAGTTCTGCACCTTACTTTTCTCCTGCTCCATCAAGGACTTTCTGTTGTGTTCCCTGTCAGGCCGGTCATTGTGGTAGCCGGGCACCATCTAGTTCTTCTGGTGATGAAGTCTCTGGTTTATGTGGCCCTTTCTGTCTCTTAGGCTAATACTTTCCTTGTGTCCATGGTGTTCTTCATTCTCCAGCATTTAAGGAACTTCTGAGGTCTGTCCCTGAGCCACTGCCATTAATTTATAGCATGATGTCAGCTGCACAGAGCTAATGGTACCTACATGGGCTTTGTAGTCCAACAAGCTTGGGTTTCTTTTCCAAACTCTTCTGCTCACTAGGGTGCTGGTTTGGGGCAAATAATGCAAACTCAGTTTTCTCCTCCATGAAATAGGAAGAAAATTTACTTGCCCCGTAAGGTTGTTGTGTGAATTACACAGAAAACACACGTTGTCCAGGGCTAGATGGTAACTGCATGTGAGTATTTACATTCAAATTAATTTAAATGAAATAATAATTAAATTTGAATAGCTGATTCTTCTAGAGTCAGCTGTTGCCCTACTCAAAATCCTTCAGTTCTCTGTGCCCTCCCACATTTACTCCATTCCCTATGAAATCCAAATTCCTTTAGCTTGGTGTTATCCAGTTGCCCTTGAGTTGATTCTGACTCATGGCAACCCCAGGAGTGTCAGAGTAGAACTGTGCTCCAAAGGTTTTTAGTGGCTGATTTTTTGGAGGTAGATTGCTGGATCCTTCTTCAAGGCACCTCTAGGTGGACTTGAACTTCCAACCTTTCCGTTAGCAGCCAAGCACGTTAACTATTTGTACCACCCAGGGACTCTAGCCTGGTGTTATAGGTCACTTAAAATTTCTCCATTCCTCCACTTAACTGTTCCTCTGCATATAGACTTCTCACGCCAACCCAAGCCAGTCACTATTTCTAAGCCCTTCCAGGGTCCTGAGTCTGAGGTCCTGCTCTCTGCTTTTCTCCTCATTCTTCAAGGCTCAGCAGAAGTCCTGCCCCCTTCTCGAAGTCAAGTGATCAAAGGCTTCTAGCCTTCTTTCTATGCAGCTGGAGTATAGCTCCTGGAGGGCAAAGACAAATTCATTTTCCTCATCACTGCAACTTGCAAAGCATAGGACCAAGAACATGGTAAGCCAGTGCCTGGTGCAGAAGGCAGTGGCCTGGAGTGGGCAGTGTCCTTCCTTCCTCATACATAAAAGGGAGAGGCCCCCCGTTCCTTGCCTATAGAAGGTGCTTGCTTTGAGCTTGGTTTTCTCTGGTGGAGGTGGGCTGCCCTGTGCCATCCACACTCTTGCACCCAGTCCATCCATTCCACTTGGCACTCGCTGTCTGGGGTTAGGGGTATACTCTGAGGCTGTGAGATGCAGCACATTCACCTGTGCTACAATGAACATCGTCAAGCGGGCGAGTTTTCCAGGTGACCCTGGCCTGTGTTGGGCATCGGCTAATGTACCTTCCTTCCTTTCCCTCCTTGGCCCCATTAGCTTCAGGTTTTCACTGCCTGAGCCGAGAGAAAGGTTACTGGTGAGCACCATGGGGCACAGCGGGTTCAGTACAGGAGAGCAGATAGGATCTCAGCAAGAAATGGGAAGAGGAGCTCAGTGGGGCCCAGATGTGGGGAGCTCAGTGGGGCCCGGGGTGGTAGGCTGGACAGGAGAGGGCTAGACAGAAGGGACAGAGTGGCCAGGAGGAGAGTAGCAAGAGAAAGGAATGTGGCCAAACATGAGAGTTGTGTGGGAGGCTGGAAGTTTGGCGGGAGGCGGAGAGAGATTGTGTCTCCTCAGCCCTGGCCATCTGACAGCACCTGAGAGGAACGTGAGGAAGAAAACAAGACAAACTTTGCCACCTCTGGCTTGTCGAGGAAGTTTGTGTTGGAAAAGAATAACTCACAGGCTCTGCTGTGCCTCTGCCCTCTCTCTACCCACACTTGGGAACAGGCTCTTGACCCCCCTTACCTCTCTGCCACTCCCCTCCCAGCTCCCAGAGCTCCCTCCCTGCTTCTCCCAAGTCCCTAGAACAGAGGGATGGGGCATGGGAGGGAGTCAGTGCCTGGGAGTCTGGCAGGAAACAGACCTGAGGTAGGGAGGGGCGCCACTGACATTCAGAAAGAACAACACCATGTTAAATACCATCCCTGTCCACATGTTTGTGTTTGTTGTTCTGTCTGGGGGCACATACGGAGCCAAGGAGATTCTTCTAGAGTCAGTTGGGCTAGATTCCCAGGAGACAGAGAGAGAGAGTCTGGAGCAAACCCATCTTATTTGCTTTCCCAAAGTGGGAGGAGGCAGACAGGGTCAACTGGGGGGCAGCATTTGCTGAGTATCTCTGCTAGGAGGGCTACATCCCTCGTTCCAGTTCATCTTTCTGATCATTTCTCATTTGATCTTCACAAAAATCCTACAAAGCAGGCATGACTGAAAACATACCCATTTTACAGATGAGGAAATTAAAGTTCAGAAAGTTTCCCAAAGTCATGGGGCTAGCTGGAACTTGAACACAAGTCATCCTGGGTCTAAAGCCTCTGCATCGCCTCTCTTTAGGGGATGCTACCACATTCTTTCTCCTCTCTCCACAGCTCTTCCTTTCCACCCCCGTTCTGAGTGCTGGGAGAAAGTCAAGGGCTATATTAAATGGTAGCCCTTAGCTACACGTGAATATTTAATTTAAATTAAGTTAAATTAAACAAAATCAGAAGTTCAGTTCCTCGGTTATACTAGTACCATTTCAAGTGTCCAATAGCCACGCGTGGCTAGTGGCTACCATATTGGACAACACAGGTATAGGACATTTGCCTCATTGAAGGAAGTTCTACTGGACAGTGCTGGGCTAGAGTTAAAGACAGGTCTGGACTAGAGAGAAAGGAAGGGCCCAGCTCACAGGCTCCTAAGGATGGAGCTGCCTTTGGGAGAAGACTGGGGACATTGCGCAAATGGGGGAGGGGTGAGGTGAGCAGGGGCTCCTCCAGGGCACCGTCTGGGGTGGGTCTGGGCCAGGGGAGAGAGCAGCTAGACCCAACTCCAGGGCCCCTCCCTCCAATACTGATACTCATGGCAATACTAGTGAGCAATTAATTGGTTGGGGTGGGGCCAGAGCTGAAGCAAGAAGGAGGGGAATGGGATGGAGGAGAAACTGGTATCTTTTTGAAGGTCCCGGGCTCTAGGCCTCCTATCCTGGCTTTTTTTCTCATCCTTCAGGAACTCAAAGATGCCTGGCCCTCCCTTATCCTACCCAAACATGAGCTGGCTGCTTCCTGTTCGCTCATCCAGGCCAGGGAGACTGCAAATTGGCTGTAAGGCCACCACCTTCCCAATTAGCCTTATTAGCCTCTTGCTCAGAGACACCAGTTGTGGGGGAGGGGCTGTGAGTGGCCTGTGAGTAACTGAGGTCCAGCTGTGACCGGGGTCCCCAGCCCAAGCCTCCTCCTAGGCTGAGGCCCTGGCAGCCAGCATCTCCCAAACTGTCCTTGGAGTCTCCCAGAAGGGAGAGGCTCTGAGGGAGCTTGTTGCTGGAATGCAGATGCCTAGTTTCAGAGAGGAAAAAGGTTCATTCATTGATGGAGCACATAAAAGGTGTGTGGCAGGCATGGTGCTTGGGCAGTGATAACAGGCGGAGACTATGGGGCACAGATCCTCATGTTTGGAGAAGGAAAGCCCAGGGTGACTGACAGGATACCAACGAAAATTGTGGAACCAGGGCCTGTGGTGGAAACCCCGGTGGGATTGCAAACCTGGGGTGGGGTGTGCTGGAGCACGTACGTGGTTCCGGAAGGGAAAGCTGAAATGTCTGCATCTGTGAGTGGGAGGAGGTCAGGGAGTCAGGAGTAGGGGAAGGATGAGGAATTGGGAGTGGAGGAAAGACTAGGGAGTTGGGAGTTGGGGGGAGAATGGGAGGATGGGGAGTTGGGCATGGAGGGAGCACAGTCAGTCAGGAGAGGAGGGACTATGAGGAGGATGGAGAGTTGGGAGTGGAGGGAGGATAGGTGGATGGGGAGGCGGGAGTGGGGGAGGATGGAGAGTCAGAGGACAGGTGAACACCGAGAGGGAGGAGAGTAGCCACCTTAGAGTGGGCGGTGGGGGCAGGTTCTGTGTTGGGCAACGCACAAATGAGGAGCTAGGGGCAGGCCAGTCAGGTGGCAGGAATTGCTCAGCCCCATGGCCATGGGTACCCCACAGTCCAGCCACGGCTGTTGCTGAGTTGGCAGATGCTCCCCACTGATTAATTCGACTCCTCCCTGCCACACCAAGTTCCCCCGGGCACCTGTCCCTCCGCCTCTCCTCCCCTGCCCACAGTGACTCCTGCCCAGAGAATGTCCAGCTCTGGAATAAAGGACTGCGTGTCCACGAGCTGCTGTCAGTCGACTGCACGGTCAAGATGAGCTTCTCTCGGGCATCCTGGATGGGGAGTGTGGGAGGGCATGGGATGATGGCATTGCTGCTGGTCGCCCTGCTCCTGCCAGGTAGGAAGCTGGGGCTCTGGGAACTGAGGGAGCGGGAGGGACACGCGGTATGCCCACACCAGCTCAGGGAAAGCTGAGGGGATCCAGTGCCTGGAGAGGCCACAGTTCATGTAGGGAGAGTCCCAAGGAGGATGGAAGGAGGGGGAAAGCAAGCACTCTGGCATCTGATGTGTGAGTCCTGGGCTGGCTTCACTGCCTTGTTACCTCAGGAGGGTTACTTAAACTTGCTGAGACTCAAGCTTCTGCAACTCTAAAACAGGCTTAATAATAACATCAAGCCATAGCCTCTGTGAGACTCAAATAATGTAAGTAATATGTGCTTTGGAAATTCTAAAGGGTTATATAAATGTTGATTGCTGTGCTGTCGTTGTTACTATCATTGTTATTAGAGGGCTAGAAGATGAGGAGTAAATATTTAGTACTAATAATAATTGCTTCCATTTAGAGAGCCCTTTTTATGTGCCAGACACTACTCTAAGCACTTTAAATGCATTAGCACTTCTGATCATTACAATAACTACAAAACAAGATTTATTATTCCCATTTTACAACTGGGAACACTGAGGCTCAGAAAGGTTAGGACACTGGCTGAAGATCACAAAGTTAGAAAGCAGTAAAGCCAGGATTCAAACTCAGACTGGCTGACTCCAGGGCCTGTGCTACTGACCACTGGATATATCGCCCTTGAGGAATTTCTGTCACCTTCCCCATGGTCTGGGTGGGTGGAGAGTGGGGTCTGTGGTGTGGAGTGTGGTGGGGAGGAAGGGGAGGAGAGAAGAAATGCTTGTTGAATTAGTGCAGTGGAATGAAGAGGGCTCTGGGCAGAGTAGGGATCTGGCACGGAGGGATATGCAGAGGAGCCTTTTTGAGAGAGAATGTGGCATCACAGATTATGAAGATCTGGTTGCTGATGGGAGTTCCAGAAAAAGAGGCAATAATAAATGGTAACGCATAAAGCTTTGTTTTCTAAAGCACCTTCAATGTAGATTCTCTCACAGTCCTCACAGTAGTGCTGTGAGAAAGGCTGGGCAGACCCAGCCTCTCTGGATGTATAAACTAAAGCTCAGAGAAGTTTAGTGCAATGTCACAGCTAGTATGTGGCTCTGTCCACACCACTTGGGACCTGTGGGGTTGGAGTGGGCAGAGGAAACTCAAGTGAGAGAGGAGAGGAGGAAGGATGGGGGATAAGTTGAGCCTGGGGATTGGTGGGAGCAAAGAGTCAGGGCAAGAAGTTGTTCCCCATCCCCAAGCGAAGTAAGTCAGGAGAAGTCAGATGTGGGCCTGGGTGGTCAGGGAGGGAAGCTGACAATGGTCACCAGCCTCGGAGGAGGGTTCCCTCCTGCTGTCCTTGGGCTGGGCCAGTGAGCGCAGGGGTGTCTCTGGGTGTGGCGTCCTGTCACGCTGGTACCAACAGGTTCTGAAGCAACAGGTGGGTGCCCCTATGTCCTGGCCCCCAGCCAGCTTTACTGGCACGGCCAGTGCTGGTACAGGAAATGGATTTCCACCCCTTACCCAGGCCTAGACTCTCACAGCAAGCTGGTGACTGGATCTTAGTCCTCTGATACCCTGTCCCTTATTTCAGCCCCTTTGCCACCTGGTTTCTCTTTTCCCAGCATTTCTTTTATGTTTTTCCTTCACTTCTCAGCCCCCCATTGTTTTGTCTTTTGCCTTCTCCTTCCACTTGGTCCCTCGGGATCTAGTCCCCCACCTCTCAGAGTCTTGGTCTCCTCCACTCTGTCTATTTGGGTTCCTTTCTTTTAGATCTGTTCGTTCCTGACACTTCCCCATTCCCCCTTGTCTTCAGCTTACTTCTTTGAGGTCTCCCACTTCTGGGTTCTATTTTCTTTTTTTCTGGTACATCTTTGGCCTTCCTGCCTCCCCAAAGCCATATAACTGTCTTTATTCTGCCGTCTCAACAGCCTTCAGAGACTCAACAGTCAGTTCTCCCTCCCTTTTCCGCTGCAAACCCTCCCTGAGCTCTTCTTGGGAGAAGTCGGGGTGGCAGATGACTGGAGTGGGCTGAGGCGTGAGGGAGAGAGCCAGCCTCTCTTTCCCTTACTAACCACTACTTTCCTCCCCAGGGATCTCAGCTAAGAGTATCGGGACCTTCTCAGACCCCTGCAAGGACCACACTCGTATCACCTCCCCCAATGACCCCTGTCTCACTGGGAAGTATGGTTCCAGTAGTTTCAGTGGCCACAGTGGTTCCGGCAGCTCCAGCAGTTCCATTTCCAGTTCCAGTGGCTCCAGTGGTTCCAGTGGCTTCATTAGTGGGTCCAGTGGATACAGTGTCTCCCAGAGTGGTTCTTCAGGATCTTCAGTATTTAAGCCAGGAACAGGGTATTCCCAGATCAGCTACTCCTCCGGATCTGGCTCTGCTCTACAAGGTTCATCCGGCTTCTCCCAGTCCGGAAGCAGCAGCTCCCAATCAGGATCTGGCCCTTTACTGACTGGTGGAGGCTCAAGCTCTTCTGTTTCCCAAAACTCTTGGAAGTCCAGCAGCAGTGGCCAAAGCGTCAGCAATAAGCTGCACCCCTGTAGCTCTGATGTCCCTGACTCTCCCTGCAGTGGGGGCCCCGTTGTCTCACACTCTGGATCCTACATCTCTGGCTCCCACACTGTGTCAGGGGGTCAGAAGCCTGTGGTAGTGATGGTGGAGCAGCATGGCTCTGGTGGCCCCAGAGTGGGTCAAGGTGCCCCCTGTAGCAATGGTGGCCTTCCGGGCAAGCCCTGCCCACCTATCACCTCTGTGGTAGACAAATTCAAAGGTGGCTATGAGGTAGTAGGTGGCTCCTCTGACAGTTACCTGGTCCCAGGCATGACCTACAGTGGGGGTAAGCTCTACCCTGTGGGCTACTTCACCAAAGAAAACCCTGTCAAAGGCTCCCCTGAAGTCCCCTCCTTTGCAGCTGGACCCCCCATCTCTGAGGGCAAATACTTCTCCAGCAACCCAATAATCCCCAGCCACAGCTCTTCTAGTTCCAGCATCTACCAGTCTGGAGCTTCCTCAGCCATTGTGTTCCAGCCCGTGGGCTCTGGTGGGGTCCAGCTCTGCGGGGTTGGCTCCGCAGGCTCCAAGGGGCCCTGCTCCCTCTCCAGTTCTGGAGTCCACCGCAGTTCCAGCAGCTCCAGTTCATCCCTCCATCCCTGTGGCAGTGTTTCCCAGGGTCCCTGCTCCCCACCAGGCACTGGCTCCCTCAGCGGCAGCTCCAGATCCCAATCCAGTGGCAAAATCATCCTTCAGCCCTGTGGCAGCAAGTCCAGCTCTTCTGGTCACCCTTGCATTTCTGTCTTCTCCTCAACATTGAGAGGGGGTCCTGATGGCTCTCCCAAACCTGATCCCTCAGCTGGTGCTAAGCCCTGTGGCTCCGGCATCCCTGGAAAGAACCCCTGCCGTTCCATCCGGGACATCCTGGCCCGCGTGAAACCTCTGGGGCCCCAGCTAGCTGACCCTGAAATTTTCCTCCCCCAGGGAGAGTTACCTGAGAGTTCATAAGTCAGCTTCTGTATATGTGCAAGTGCGGGTACAAACATTTGGCACACCATCTCCCAAGTGGGAGAAGTCCAGGGACCCAGGCATGGGGTGCACTCAGTTTCCCTCCTCCCTCCCCAGACAGATGTTCTACCTCCCCCATTACTGCAATGTGGCAGACTCTCTCTCATCACCTCTTCTTTCTTCGTCTCCCCAAAATGGTAGACCTCAAATCCTATTCTCATTCCCTCCTACTGCTTAGATTCCCATTCCACTGCAATGCCTTCTCTGTCAGATTACTATCCCCTAAATCTCCCCTGACATTTCTTTGAGATGGTACAGTCCATAGTTAACCCCACCCATTCAGGTTCTTGACGGGGAAACTCCCTAAAATGTTCCCAAAAGGTGAGGATTTCTATGCCTGGACAGCAAGTTGCCCCATCCACTCCCCCTTTGCTAAATAAAGCAACATCTAAACCGTTATCTGAAAACAGTGGCCACTTTTCACTCACCTTGGGTAGACTCTTCACCATTTGGTCAACCAACTTGATATCTCACTGGTATGTTATACTTTCAATTCCATGTACCCTCCCCCATCATCGAGCTCACTGTAACCTTGGAAATCACTGTTCCAAACATCACCCCCCCACCCCACCCCGCTTGCCTCTTAAGGTCTCCCTCCATCCCAGCTCCCTTCCTGGCTGCCACTTCCCTCAGTGCTCAGATGTTGCCTGTGTGAGGGAGATGCCAGGACATCCTCAGAGACCTATGCAGGCTCCTTGTGCTGTGTGGATCCTGGACAGATGGCTCAATAAACTGTGCGAACTAGATGCAGACTTTTTGCTTTCTTGGCGTCCTGGGTCTCCTCTTAGGACGTGGGTGGTGCTCCTCTTTGCTTCTAGTGGCCCCCGTGTCCCCCGTTTTCATTACAAGTTGGCCCAGTATTTCTTCACATACTCCTCCCACAAAGGATAACAATAAATATTTGTTGAACTAAATGCAGAGGCTGCCTGATCTCCCAGATTCTTCCTCCCACTTCTCTCCTCTCTCATTGTTCCAGAAAATCCATTCTCTCTCCACTCCTCCTTCACTCTGAGGTCCTTCCTGCCCCCTAGATAGACCCCTAATTATTTCCTCCCCGTCCCCACCCAGGTTCCTTCTCCTCCATTAATTTGTCTCACCTTCTAGAAGCCATCCTCTCTGGGAGTTATGAGTGTCGATTTCTTGGGTTTCTGGGACACCTGGAACCTTGGGAAAGTCTGGGACACAACAACCCAGACCAGATTCTTGGTGACTGAGTAGGAGCCCAGTTGGGTGTTCTGAGAGTTGAGGGCGGAGAAAGTAAAAGGAAGAGAGGAGAGGAACATGACAGGGAGTGCAGCCAAACACGGTGACTCACTGGCCTATATAATAAGGTCCAAAGCAGGGTGGCAGCCAGCTCATGGAGGACAGGGGCTGACAGAGTCCCCTCCACCTCCACACTCCTGCTGCCTCTGCTGTGGTTCTAGAGTGAGAGCTGTGGGTGACATGGCTCTCGGGTGAGAGAGGGCAGAGTACAAGAGTGGAGAAGTGGAGGTGGTCTGCCTGGGAGAAGGGAGAGAGAACATGGACAGAGTGATTTCAGGGCCATGCAACTTATGTGCTGGAGACAGGTGGTGGAGATTCTGAGGCTGAGGAAGTCCTCATATCCCAAGGAGGGGAGAGTGGGCTGTGCTTGTACCTATAGGAAGGGCCCCACCCCAAGCACAAGCAACCTCTAAGAACCTGTGCTTGGCTGCAAAGGAATTCACCTCTCCCTTAGGACCTAAATCATTCCCTACTTTTGGGATAGTGCTGGCTGGTCCCTGAGACATGGCAATCACATGAACAACAGAACAAAGCACTGCCTAGTCCTACATCATCCCTATGATGGGTTATGGACTGGACCATTGTGATCCATAGAGTTTTCACTGGCTGGCTTTCGGTAGTAGATCCCCAGCTCTTTCCTCCTAGTCTGTCTTAGTCTGGAAGCTCTGCTGAAATCTGTTCCATATTACAGCAACACCCAAGCCTCCCTGACAGATGGGTGGTGGCTATGCATAAGGTATATTAGCTGGGAATCAAACCTTGGTCTCCCTCATGAAAGGTGAGAATTTTACCACTGAACCACCATTGCCACTTGGTCACAGATTTAGGGCTGTTGAAAGTTCAAGTCCCGAACCAGGAGAAATGTATTACATTGATCAGAAATGACCTGGGGCAACTCAGCCACCCTGCAGGGTTGTTTGAAGACAGAGAAAGACTCCATAACAGTCCCGTTTCTGTCATCATGGTTGAGTCCCCCTTGGTCCAACAGCTGGCAGCCACTGCAGGAGTCAAGGCAATCAGAGGCTTATGGATTAGAATCACAAGGGGGAGACAGCCTCTGCTGTGGGGACTCCTCTAGTCCCTGGTGTGGTGAAGGTTAATTTTGCAAAAATGGTGGATGTCACTCAAAAGGGCCACTGCCCTCCACCCATTGGCCAGTCTGGAGAGGAGCTCTTCACTCCTCCAGCAGCTAGCCTGCAGCAGGTATGGATGGTGGTGAAACAGTAAAGTCTGTTAACAGCTAATGTTTAGACCTCAGGCAGCCGGCAAGTTTAGTCTGCGGACCTCCCAGAAGCAGTGGTGAGAACAAGGGCATTTCAGAACTTTTTATCATGAGAAATTTCAAACATATTTAAAGTAGACAGAATAGTCAAAGAAACCCTATGCTTCCATCACTCAGTTTCAACAAATATCAACTCATGGCCATTTGACAGTAATATTTAAATGCCATATTTTACTGCTAGTTGGAAACATCTGCTGTCTTTCTATATCTCTTATATTCTGTGGATATATCTGACCATCTATAGTAGGCAGAATGATGCTTCCCCTGAAGATGTCCACATCCTAATCCCTGGAACCCACAAACATATTAGGTTACATGGCAAGGGGAAATTAAGGTTGCAGATGGAATTTTCTAATCAATTGATCTTAGAGTAGGGAGATTATCCAGGATTATCCCGGTGGACCCAATGTGATCACAAGGGTCTATAAATGCAGAAGAGAAAGGAGGTCAGAACGATACAATGTGAGAACCTCACCTGCTGTTGCTGGCTTTGAAGATGGAGGGAGGAGGGGCTACAAGCCCATGCAGGTGGTCTTTAGAAGCTGCAAAAGGCAAAGAAATGGATTTTCTCCTAGAGCTTTCAGAGAGGAATGCAGTCCCCTCAACACCTTGATTTTGAGCCAGGGAGGCCCATTTTGGACTTCCAACCTTCCAGAAATGCAAGATAACAAATTTTTGTTGTTTTAATCCATTAAGTTGTGGTAATTTGTTACAGCAGCAATGTTGTTGTTATGTGCTGTCAAGTCAGTAGGAACCCTATAGGACAGAGTAGAACTGCCCCATAGGGTTTCCAAAGAGCAGCTGGTGGGTTCGAACTGCTGGCCTTCTGGTTAGCAGCCAAGTTCTTAACTGTTGTGCCACCAGGGCTCCACAGCAGCAATAGGGAACTAATAACACCATCATCTGTTAAGGATGGGAACCAGGTCTATTTCCCTAGATACAGGAGTTCACCTATTGGGATCAAGGTGAAGGAGACATGAGGATGCTTGAGAAAGAGGTCCCTGGGGGAGAAAGATCTGGATTCCAAGGAGCGAGAAGAGAACCAGGTGTTTCTATTGCTGAGAAGATGCACTGAAGTGATTGGGATCGCAAGGGTGATGGTCCTTATGTACTTGGTGCAAGGAATCAGGGAAGGGTAGGGCTGGCAACCTGCGATGAGCTGTGAGCCAGGACACCTGCATCAAGAAGGGGCCCAGAGCTCAAGGAAAGGTGCCAGGGTGGGGAGACACCCAGCTTCCTCTCGGACATTCAAGTGGCACCTGTTGCCACAGACAGAATTAGGAAGGAGGGTGGAATGTGGAGATTTATTGTCTTCAAACCACTGGCCCAGCCTGTTTCTGCTGTCCCCCGCCCCATGAGGAGGATAAAGGGCTGGCCGTCCTGGGGCTGAGGGAGATGGTAGAGCTGAGCACGATGCAGGGCCGCATGGCAGGGAGCTGGGCTCTACTGGGCTTGCTCCTGGTTTGTCTTCATCTCCCAGGTATGGAGGCTATGCCCAGCCTTCGGGCAGGAGGGTGCCGGGGCACCCAGGGGAAGTGGAATGAAGGGCAGGGATAAAGGCAGGAAGAATGCACACTTGGGTCCCTGAGGGAAGTATGAGATGGAGTAGGGAAGGGTTAGGAACCAGGGAATCCGGGAAGGGAGGGCATTGGGACCAAACATGAGAGTCCATTGGTTGCTTTATCTTCACTTTCCCTCAGGTCTTTTTGCCCGAAGTATCAGTGCAGTGGAGGAGAAACTCCCCCAAGACTTGGGGATCAACTTGCCTCTGCTTGGACAACCTTCTTTGGCCAGGACCTCCAACTCGGAACAACCTCAGCCCAAGTCAGATGCTGGGTCTAATGGCTTAGCAAAGGGTCTTCTGAAGCCCAAGATGTCTCCATATGATGGCTCCCAGGCTGCAAAAGGTTTTAGTGTACAGAATTGGCTCTCACCTGAGGGACTGCCCTCTGTGGACTCCTGGTCCCCTGAGGGTCCTTGGCCAGTGATGCCTGCGGCAGTCGAGGACCATCCCTGGGATGTGCTGCTGGAAGGACTATCTTACCTTACTAGTGCTGCTGCCCTCCCTCTGAGTAGTGGCCCTATGCCTGAAGGTCCTTCTGCACACTTTGCAGATGCCCCCCCGGATGCTTCTCTCCTCCACCAGGACTCTGAGCTTAGATGGCCACCCCGTTCTAGTCCACTGGAAGCCCAGGGGGAAGTCCCTGCCCAACACCCACTCTGCTCTCTCATGAACAGGATCTGTCAGTCACTTCTGCCTGGTCTCCCCTGGGGGACCCTGAATCCTTGTGTGTCCTGGGGAAGTGGACATCCTGGAACTGGCTGGGGGACAAGGCGCATGCCATCATCCCATGCGGGATGCTGGGGAATCAATAATCAATACCCAGGTTCCAGCTGGGGGAATATCAATCGGTATCCAGATGGCAGCTTGGGGAATAGTAATCAACATCCAGGAGGCAGCTGGGGGAATATTAATCAATATCCAGGGGCTACCTGGGGGAATATTCATCTACCCTCAGGTAACAATAATCAATTCCCTTCCAGAATTCTCCGTCCTCCTGGCTCTTCTTGGAATATTCCAGCTGGCTTCCCCAGTTCTCAAGACCCTGGGTCACAGTGGGGTTAGGAGTGTGACAGGGATGGGGAGGGGGCCCCTAAATTGGAAATCAGAGAGGGAAGTCCTGCCCCCTGCCCTTGCAGTACAAACTGAATTAAGATTCAATCAGCCGATCTCCCAGCATTACCCCTGCTTCTCGCTGCCTCCCCTTCCTCCCTGCGCTGATCAACAATAAAACACAAGTGGTTATGGAATTTCCTTCTCTCAGTGTATTTTTTTATGGTCATAAAACTGAAGTGAATTTTGTCCTTTCTAGCCATGCTCAGTGCCTCTTTGGTCCCCTCCAGATGCTCTCCTGCTGCCCACCCCCCCCACATTCTTTGCAAAAGATCAAAGCCCAGGTGTTTGAGGGTGGAGCCTCACAGTCTTACCCTGGCAAAGTGGGAGAACCGATTCCAGAATTGTACTGGAACCTGAAGAAGGGAGGAGGGGAGGCAGGACTAACTGAGGTGGCACCTGTGCCAGAAGGAGGGCTGAGTCCAGGGAGTTGCTACCAGGGCCAGGGGGGTGCTGAACACCCTTCAATTCCCAGAGACACAGAGAGTCAGAGAAAGCCGTATTGTTGATGCTTAGGTTTTCAACCGTGGAAAGTTCTTGGAAGTGGGTCTCCTTACACACATCACTTAGCACATTGTGCCCGAAAGAACCATGGTCTTTGAAGATTTGTTGACTAAACTGTGGGCCTCCATAAAGGAAGAAAAGAAAGGGAGAAGAGAAAGGGAGAGAAAAACTTTGGAGCCAACAATGCCACCTGCGGTGGCATTTGATGCTTTTATTCTCAAGTGATGACACTTTCTCTTGCTTTAGTCACACTGTGGTCTCCATGCCCTCCCTTTGCTTTTCCCAGGACCTCTGCATCCTTGTACAGGAGTTGGAGGGAGGGGAGGGTCACTCTTAAGAAAGAGCGCATGAGAGCCGGCAGGAGCCAGATGGAGGTGGTGAGGCTTCCAGAAGGGCCTGCCTCTGGTGAAGGTCTGTATTCGTTTCCCCAAATGTATAGTTCACCCTCAGGGTTCAGGTGTGCGCACCCTCCCCACAGTGGAACACCCCAGATCCAAGGAATTGGTTCTGTTGTTGGGAGGGAGGCAGGAGGAGGACAAACACCAGCACTGAGGTGTTTTCAGAACATTCTCCTCTCCCAGTGTCTGCCACGGTCTCCATCCCGCATGGAGAATTCCCTCTTGGGGTACCTTCCCCATCAGCCAACCTTTATCACCACCACATTCCCTTCTTTATCCCCTCAGCCTCCTCGCTCAATTCTTTTCCCACCTTGGACTTCCTTGGTTTCTTCTGGTGGTAAGGCAGGCTGGCCTGTTGTCAGTGTCTGTCTGTCACAAGCCCAAGTTCATTCTCTCAGGCTATCTCTAGCCCTCTTTCCGGTTGCCCCCCTCTCTATTGGTGTGGCTAGTTGCCATCAAGTCGGCTCCAATTCATGGTGACCCCATGTAGAACAGAACCAAATGTTGCCTGGTCCTGCACCATCTTCATGATGTTGATATGCTCAAGTCCATTGCTGTGGCTACTGTATATTTTAAGTACTTTCCAACCTAGGGGGCTCATCTTCCATCACTACATCAGACAATGTTCTATTGTGATCATAAGGTTTTCCATTGGCTAATATTCAGAAAGAGCTCTGGTGGTGCAGTGATTAAGAGCTCGGCTGTTAACCAAGAGATTGGCAGTTCAAATCTACCAGCCACTCCTTGGAAACCCTATGGGGCAGTTCTATTGTGTCCTATAGTGTTGCTATGAGTTGGAATCAACTCGACAGCGACATGTTTTTTTTTTTAAATAGTTTTTAATATTCAGAAGTATCGCCAGGCCTTTCTTCCTAGTCTGTCTCAGTCTGGAAGCTCCACTAAAACCTCTCCACCATGGATGACCCCGCGGGTATTTGAAATACCAGCGCCATAGCTTCTGGTATCATAACAACAACACACAAACCACCATAGCACAACAAACTGACATACGCGTAGTGGCTCCTCTCGATAGTCACTCCTATTTTCACTATTAAAGTCTGTATCCACACTCCCCTCCTCTCTTCCCCACACTCCCTAGAACGTAAGCCCCATGAGGGCAGGGACTTTGTCTTACTTTGTTTACTGAGAAAAGTGAGAACAGTGTCCGGGCCATGGTAGCCCTTTGCCTTCGAGCCCATTTTGACTCACAGAGACCCTGTAGGATGGAGTAGAACTGCCCCATAAAGTTTTCAAGGAGCAGCTAGTGGATTCGAACAGTCGACCTTTTGGTTAGCAGGCGAGCTCTTAACCACTGCGCCACTAGGACCCCCCTGGGCCATGGTAGGCACTCAGTAATCACTGAATGAATGGATGAATCCTCTCTCTCTCTAACTGAGACTCCCTGTTTTCTCTCTTCTTCTAACCTGTTCCTGAGCCACATGGCTACACTAAGAGTCTAATACTGATGCAGACTTTTGTTGTGGCCTTTCCTGGGCCTCACAGACATTTCCTTACAAACGTCACAAAGCCCCTTTCAGCTCATAAAATGCTGTGTTCATTGCTTCATTTAACTCTGACTATCTGTGAGGTAAGGAGCTGTGGTGATGCAATGGTTAAGTGCTCGACTGAAAGGTTGGTGGTTCGAACCCACCCAGCAGCTCCATGGGAGAAAGACCTGGCCATAGAAATTACAGCCTAGAAAACCCTATGAGGCAGATCTACTCTGTCACATTGGGTGGCTTTGAGTCGAAAATCAGTTTGATGGCACACAACAACAGCAATCCTCTGTGAGGAAGGTATCATAAGATCTCCTTTAACTTTTTACAGATGATGAAACTGAGGTGAAGGGAGATTAAACAACTAAGACAAGTTTATATAGCTAATAAGTGACAGAGTCAGTGACTCAAACGTAATTTGTCTCAGTATCTGTCCGGGGAGTATTCAAATACAATATGCAGTTAAACAAAACAGAAAAAAACAACTAACTTTTACTGAGTACCTACTTTGTGCATGACACTCACTAGGTGAGGTGCTTTCATACACATCCTTCCAGCTAAGCCTCACGACAGTTTTACTGGGTAGGCACTGCTGGGCCCCATTACACAAGGGAGATATTGAGGCCCAGAGAGGAAAGCAAGCCAAGGATTGCACAGAGGTAACACTGTGCCGAGGGAGTGAGGTTTGTCCCATAGTCAGCCGGTGTTGATGGCTGGTGGGTGCTGAGGCTACAACAGTGGAGGGTCCTGGGGTAGCTGTGGCCAGCCTTGTCAGAGTGGTCAATTGTTGCTAAAAATAGGAATAAAAAGTTCTAAGATTTGCAGCCGTCTGTCAGTTGGTTATACTGTGGCAGGTTGCATGTTGCTGTGATGCTGGAAGCTATGCCACCAGTATTTCAAATACCAGCAGGGTCACTCATGGTGGACAGGTTTCAGCAGAGCTTCCAGACTAAGACACTAGGAAGAAAGGCCTGGCGATGTACTTCTGAAAATCAGCCAATGAAAACTCTATAGATCACTATAGAATATTGTCCAATGCAGTGCTGGAAGATGAGCCCTCAAGGTTGGAAAGAAACAATGGGCTCAAGCATGCTGGTGATAATAAGGATGGTTGGGGCTAGGTGTCACGGACTGAATTGTGTCCCCTCAAAATATTTGTCAGCTTGGCTAGGTCATGATTATTTCCAGTATTGTATGATTGTCTTCCATTTTATCATCTGACGTGATTTCCCTATGTGTTGTAAACTCTCTCACTATGATGTAATAAGATGGATTAGTGGAAGTTATATTGATGAGGTCTACAAGATTAGGTAGTGTCTAAAGTCAATCTCTTTGGAGATATAAAAGAGAGAAGCGAGCAGAGAGACATGGGAACCTCACACCACCAAGAAAGCAGCGCCGGGAGCAGAGCACGTCCTTTGGAGCTGAGGTTCCTGTGCAGAGAAACTCCCAAAGCAAGGGAAGCCTGATGACATGGACCTTCCTGCAGAGCTGACAGAGGAAGTGTTCCCTGGAGCTGATGCCCTGAATTTGGACTTGTAGCCTACTGGACTGTGAGGAAATAAACTTCTCTTTGTGAAAGCCATCCACTTGTGGTCTTTCTGTTATAGCAGCACTAGATGACTAAGACACGAAAACACGACTAGGTAACATTTGGTTCTGTTGTACATGGGGTCATCAGGAATCAGAACCAACTTGAGGGCAACTAACAGCAACAACAAAGTTTACAGTGGGGGTTGATGCTGGTGCACCGATTTTATGTTTTTATTAGTGGTGGAAGTGGCAGCTGGAGTAGCAGGAGCCATCTCTCCTGTCCTGGGAGGTGAGCTTCTACAGTAGAAAAAGCACTTGTCTAGAAGTTAGAAGACCCAGATTCCCCTTCTGTGTGCCTGCACTGCTTGCCCTGCCACGTCAGCTTAGGTAAGCCACAAAATGGAATGAAAGCAGATGTCCGGCCTACCTCACGAGGTTGTTATAAAGTTTAGTTAGTATACTGGTAAAGTGCTTCAGAGACTGAAAAACTGAGTGTTTGTAGGGATTGACTATAATGCAATAAATTGTCCCAGTGAGGCCTTCCTAGTGGGACCACATGGCAGGGTAGTTCTTAGCCCCACAGAGAGAGGCTAGTCTGGTGAAGTGGCCGTTTTTGGCTGCACGGTTGATCGTTAAGATTGGTGTGATGCTTCTCCCAGGAATTACTTACTAAAGAATGATTCCAGGATCAAGAAGTGAGAGTTGGCTTCTCATTTAAATACTTGATTCCACCAACAAACTGTGTTCACTCAGTCAGGTGTTTTTCACTTATACGTACACTCTTGGGTGATAATAATAATAGCTTCCTTTATTATATATTAGGTTGGCAGTTTGAATCCACCAGCTGCTCCTTGGAAACACTGTGGGGGCTCTTCTACTCTGTCCTATAGGGTCACTATGAGTTGGAATTGACTCTGTGGCAATGGGTACAGGTTATTATATATTTACCATGAACTACAGGGTTATTTCAATTAATCCTCACAAGAACTCTGGCATGCAGTTTCTCTTATTTCCGTTTTAC